TTTGGGGCCCATTGCTCACTTATTTATCATGAAATCGCTTCACTAGAACATTTTTAATAATGTCTATGGGAAACTTTGTAATTTTCTGAACTAAAGGTTTATGGTTTTGAGGTGTTTATTTTATAAAATAGCACGCGCGACAAAATGGCACTAATGTGGTTTCTCACGTCTGACAAACAACCAAAGATGAAAGTTCTTATTTCACCCTTTTATAGCTATGTGGAATACCTGAATATTAGGTTATCTTTTTCATGTGAGCATATAGATAACATTTCTACACAATAGTCCTTATGAAGGCTTATTTCAAACTAAAAAAAAAAATTGTTTTTCAGAGCCAGACTTCAAAAGAAACCGCCTGGCTGACATTTTATAGCAGCCTACATTGCCGCGCAAAATAATTTTGGCTTTTAAACCGTTGCTTTCCCAATAGAAGCATGAGAATATTGAGCTAAAAGTCTTAACTGACGTGTGTTTAAAGTGTTTTTCTCTTTATGATGCTTTTCAGTGCTTTGAGTACAGAAGTGAATAGCTTTTAGTTTTGTCACCGCAGAGTGCCTTTCAAAATGTTGGCTGTCATTGTCTGTGTTAAAAACACCTCAGAAAATTCCCATTTTCTCACTTTCCCATCCTTGGTTTATATTAAAATAAATAAATTTAAGCACTATGTGTCCTTTTAAATATATTTGAAGCAATCAAAAAAACTTTAAAGATGTACAAACACTGTGTTTTGGCTTGCACACTTTGTTGAACTTGAACAATTAGTTACCGTTCTAAATTTCATGTTGTAAACAAGATGCCTCAAAAAAGCAAAGAAGTAATTTTTAAATTTTTTGATAATTTCGTAATTCATATCCCAAAAGATGAAAATTGGTTGTAATATAGATATGTATTAATTTAGTAAATGATTTTTTTTTTTTTATATATAAATTTATGGAGATATTGCCCCTTTAGGTGATGAGTGACATGAAAAACAAAGTGTCACTGCTTGATAAATAAAAATACTGACTGAAAAAACTAATGATATATATAGGTATGCAAGGTCATCTAAACTAAATTTGGTCAATCATATATCATTCATGTTTGATTGAAAAGATCAGACTTTTTTATGCAATTGTTTCTGAGATATTGCCATTTTGGTGAAAGCTTGGAATTCAATCATGCATTCGCCATATTGCTTGCCACTTTAGGGGGTGGTAACATTGTAACAGCTTGCCAGTTAATGAGTTAAGATTATAATCTGTCAAAACTAGACGCGCGTGATTAAAATTAAGGCGCCAGATTCAAAACTTGCTTCGATCGACTAACGTCTCGAAGTGCGCGTATACCTAAAATTTATCAAAGTGTTTAACTTTAACGGTATGGTTGTAAGTCTTATTCACCCACATTCGTGTGGATTTGCGAAGGCAGCAATTTGGCGAATTACCAGAGATGCTTCAGTCAAAATAAAGCGCGTGAACAATGAAACGCCATATCAGCATCGCGTGCGTACAGTTCAAGTTATTCATGAACATTTCTCCCAAAGTTTCCCCGGCAAGAAGTTCGCAGTTGACTTTAAAACCTTCATGAGGAAACTGCCAGACTTGCGCAAGAAAATCAGCAACTGGAATCCTAGGAAAAAGACGGAACGCAAGCAATATTTCGAGGCTTTCTCAGCAGATAACTGGAAGGCATTGTCGATCGAACACAAGGCCGAACATAGCTTGACAGACTGTCGTACCTGTTTCCACAAGTATTCAATACAACAGTCGTTCTTTCCTGTCCAATCCAAGGAATTTCAAGGCTGTTTAAAACAAAATCCAGCGATCGTGGCAAAAAATATCGCGGGTAAAATAATTCAACAACCCGGCCAAGTGAAATGCACCCGACGTGAGTATCAAGCTGGCGTTCAGAAGGTTTATGACGAAATCAACCCAGTTTTCGAACGCGTGTTTAACGTCCCTCTTGAGAAAGCCCTGACAACTCTTCCGACCCTGAACATTCAGACGAGTAGGAGTGCCACTGAAACAAAAAGAGAAAGACGCAAACAATTACGTAAAGCCAAAACGTCCATTGAAAAACACTGGAAGAGTACATCTGTAATGAGGTACGTATGTTAAATTTCACTAATTATAAATTTCATTTGTAACAGATTATGATAAACGTACTCGTAATATAAGGGTAAATATATTGCTAGAAAAGCTATAAAATGTAATAAAACTAATAAATCAATGTAATCACATGATTAAGGTGTTATGGAAACCACCAATCATTATCAGCCGCATGAAGATCACGCCTCACTATGGCATTTGAGAGCAAGGATGATGCGAAGAAGCGAAATGAGATGAGCAATAGTTTGAAAAAACGTAATCCTGTTGGGAATGTGAACAATAGAGTATTCGAGCGAGAGAAAATGAAGGAAGAAATAGAAAGCTATCCTGATGGTATTGCTGTCAACTGGTCAGATTTGGCTTGGCGACACAATATCACCAACACAAAGGGGGAATTGGCAAAAAATGGAGGGCAGATAGCTCAGGAGTGGCTAAAAAAAGAGGGCGTGAACATTAACAGGTTCAAACGTAAGAATGATGGAAGTGATATGCGAGTCCGGAGAAAGAAACTTAGGGGACAAGGAGGGGAAATTACGGTTGCAACTCCGCAGAATATTGACAAGGTGAAAGCTGAGATAAGGAAGAAGATTTCATCTGGCGAATATACTGTTGGGCAACAAATTGCACCAAGAAAGGTCAGTGCCAAACAGTATTATTTTACTTCATTGCTATGATAGACAGGGCCGAGATTGATAGACAGGATAAAAATAATGCAATAATCAGATGTACTGTAGATTTCTCTAGGGTCTGATCTATTTACAGGGTCTGTATTGTAAGTAATTTGTTAATCATTAATCTTGAAGCAAACGTTCCATTCCATTTTCATCTCGATTGTAGTATGAAAAGATGGCATTAAATGAAAATGGAGAGATAGTTAGATCTGAGTTTGTTGTGGAAGGACGAAAGCAGCCTTTGGTCGAGATTAGAGAACGAACATTGAAAAGCCAGGAGAAGTACATGCGACAACGATGTGATGACGAGTACGATAAAATGACAAGTGAAAGTTTGATAACATGTCTCAAAGCAATAAACGAGTACCATGAAGACGAAAATGTGCAGTCGATGCGGGATAGGCTAAAAGATATTAGAGAGTTTTAGCTTGACGTTTACGGCAAATGTCAAACCGCTAACAAAGTTTTTGATTTTACAACTTTATTATAACAGCTTTTACACCAGTTTTGAAATATATTAAACAATTATTAAACTTGTGTTCTTTAGCAATGATTTAAGGAAGCAAATTAATCACTAGTCACATATTCACCAAAGCAGTAAATGAAGATCTGGCATTTGAAGTTTACGTTTGGGGTATAAATTTCATGCTTGAACTGCTACGAAGGCTTGCAGTCGTTAAAGCATGAAATTTATACGCCAAACGTAACCTTCAAACGCCAGATCTTCATTTACTGCTTTGGTGAATACATGACTAGTGGTTAATTTGCTTTCTTAAATCATTGCTAAAGAACACAAGTGTAATAATTGTTTAATATATTTCAAGACTGGTGTAAAAGCTGTTATAATAAAGTTGTAAAATCAAAAACTTCGTTAGCGGTTTGACGTTTGCCGTAAACGTCAAGCTAAAACTCTCTATTGAGAGAACAAGGCATCTGAAAGTTTGGCATGATCTATCAACGATTGCTAACCACGGCCATTTGGTTTTTATGGTGTCATCCCTATATGATCCTGCAATCCATTACCTTGATAGCGAGTACCAAAATCTCACTGGCTGCAAAAACACAGACATTCAAACGAAGGTGGAAACGCCGGAAGTCTACATAGTTGTGCGGTCGGGAAGTTCAGATGTTGAACAACTCACATACGTTGATACACGTCTGGAATGTTTGGAAGAACTAAGCATCGATATAAAGACTAGTGGTGGGAATGATGTCGCAGATAAAATGCGCTTCTTTCACGGTGACAGTCCTGCACGTCAACTGGAATCAGGGCAGCAAAAAGGAGGAAACTTCTATTGTTCTGGATGTGGTGCAAATGCACAACAGGCATATCAGCTGGACATTTGCTTTTCTTGCCACTACCTGTCACTAATAGATCGGCAACAGTTGGTACTCGCTGGACCTCCTGGAAGAAAAAATTCTCTGGCAAAAGCTCCCAAGCCATTTCAAAAGTTAAAGAAAGATGAACTTATTCGAGAACTGAATACCAGAGGAATCTATGAAGGGGAGTCAAAGAAAGAGCTTGAGAAGCTTTTGACAGAGGAACTCCACGGCGTTCAGAGAGTACCTGCTTTGCTTTACAACAACCCAACAGCTACCCTGGAATCCATCAACTGTGACAAGTATGAAATACTTAGTTTTGAACCCCTCCACGACATACATTAACAGTATATAACCAGTTGTGCAAAATCACAAAAGAATGATAAATAAATAAACACAAAGAATATAAAATAAGCACAAAATAGAAACAAGCTAACAAATTACCTGTTATTTTTGACATTACAGATAGTACAGGCTGTTCAAGAGTTGAAAGTTCAGTTGTATCAGATCCTACAACATTGGAGAAAACTATTAATATTACTGGTACGTACTGTTCAAAACTTAGGGTCTGTTTATATAATCCTCCCTAGACAGGATGTTTCCATTGCGATGAAGCCATTTAAGTGCTTGACATCATATTTTTTGTTGCAATAAAGGCAACATGCATGTTCAAAAGGGAAAAGTTCATCCCACCTTATAATTATAGGAGTTTTTCATCCCGGCTTGGCGGGATGAAGTGTTTATTTTTCATCTCGTTGAGGCGGCATCTGTTGCCAAGATCCTGTCTAGGCGGGATAAATGGCAGGATCATACAAACACTCTTTCGAATTTGTATTACGAGCAGGATCTTGGTAAGCATCCAGTCCTGCCTGGTGGGAATCATATAATCAGGCCCCCTTATTAATTAGTACTGGTAAAATCTTGTCCAGAGAGCTTTACTTGTACACTTATACACAATGACTCTATAGTCACGAGTTATTGATATATTCACAGCACACAGTTGTGCTGCATTCTCAGAAAAATATAAATACATGTGTCTTAGATTATCAAGTCACATGTACATTAATTTGTTACAGGTAGCACAAGCTGCTCAAGAGTTGCAGTTGTTACAAATCCTGGAACCGCAATGCCAAATTCTGGTACAATGGGTAATGACACATGTGTGACAAAGTTAGGAAAAGGAATTGAGTTTGTTCTTGGGAAGTCAGCTGAAGTTTTAGAATTTGACAAAGCACGGCAGAAACATAAGCAGTCACCTTCTGATAAGTTCATTCTTGACAAGTTTATTTATGAAAAGGGTGGCTGTTATGGAGGTCAAAATTTCTAAGCAAGAACGCCTACTTCGTGTAGAACTTGGTCAATGGGAAAAAGACTTTTACCTGAAAAACAACAAAGTTGCTACTCAAGAAGACATAACAGCATGTCTTCATGCAAAAGCTCTTAGGAACAAGCTAAAATATGCTAAAGCTATCCTGACGAAAGTAAGGAACAAAAAATAGAAGCTGCTGAACGTCCATATTTTAGTTCTCATAAGTTATAAAATTGAGAGAGTTTAGGGTCGTTTTATACGTCGAATTTTGGTCAAGTCGAATGCAATTCAAACACTATAAACTGCATTCGAAGCCACCCAAATTCGACGTATATAAAAGCGGGCCTAACACTAGTAATAATGGCTATTCCTTTGGCTTTCATTAGGCCTGTTTCAGACGTCGAACTATCCATGTGCCGAACCTTTAGTTCTTAATAGTTTTATTTCGAATTTATGTACATTTAGTTCTGCAGAGAAAGTTCGACGTCTGAAACTGGCCTTAGCAGCAACTTTATGTAGTATTGCTGTAAATATGTAAATATCAAATCTTGTAAAAACTCACCTTTATAGGCTTTAACCATGTATGTACCATAATAAGTAGAAGAGGAGTAGATTGGAAAACATTTAATACATTTACAACGAAATTTAAAGTTTGAAACACTCACATTCCTTCGTTAAAACGCATTTCGCTTTAAACGGTCGCTAAGTAACCATAGTCCATAAATGGTCAACACTTCCATAAAGGGAAAAGCGAAGTAACACGAATACTGGGCGCCAATATTTGCAGTTTTTGCGCGAAGGTGCAATATTGTACAAGGTGAAGCATATATCCGAGTATTTTGTGAAATATAAGTATGCGACTTACAGTTGAGGAGAAAAGAAAGATGCGCAATGAGAGAAAGAAGAGAAAGCGGTCTCACAAATCGGAATTGAAGCGCGCGGCGCTCATAAAAGATGCACTTCGTGAGGTTCAAAGAAAAACCGACGAGCAAAGGAGCATTGCTTCAAAATATTATAAACTTTGGAGGAGAAGTGTAGAAACTAACAAAAAATTACAAAATAAGTTGGACAATAGAGAAAGCAGTATAAAAAAGGTATACAAATATTAATAGGTACATGAATATTACAATACTTCTTATTAATAATTCTTGGCTACCAGTACCTACAGTATATAAAATATATTAATATATATATATAAATATATATATATATATATATATATATATATATATATATATATATATATATATATATATATATATATATATAAATTAAGGTACAACAAATCAACAAAATCCACTAGGCATCTTTATTACTAAATAGTTTCGTACCACAGTATGTGGCACTCTTCAGATAAATTGACCAATTGGTCAATTTATCTGAAGAGTGCCACATACTGTGGTACGAAACTATTTAGTAATAAAGATGCCTAGTGGATTTTGTTGATTTGTTGTACCTTAATTTAAATATGCTCTGGGTTTCCATTGAGCACTTTGCCAAAAGTTTTTATAACCAACAAAACCAAATTTTATATATATATATATATATATATATATATATATATATATATATATATATGTATATATATATATATATATATATATATATATATATATATATATATATATATATATATATA